GCCACTGTTCTGAAACAAATTCAACATATCTGCTCGTTTACGTTAACAGACTCTCTTTTCTTAAACCGGAGCTGAAGCCTGTGGCTTTGAAACCAAGTCAGTGGATTTGCATCTTGTCGTCTTCCCCTCCACTATCTGCTCTCTCTCTCGCACACTCTGTCTGTCTGTCTGTCTGTCTGTCTGTCTGTCTGTGATTGTGTGTTTGTGTGTGTTAGTTACTGTGCGCAGCATGCGTGGAGATTTCACATAAGCCCCAAAAAGCAGAATGCAGCACGTTTGACAAAAAGTCTAGCTGTTACATTATTTATGAGGTAGTAATATTGTGGCTTTTCTTCTTTATTATCAACAAGTGGATAGTTTCCCAACTACCGCTAGTTAAATCAATATTGCTTAAATTACAAATTTAGATTACAAAACGAAATGAACTGTCATAGGCAGTTTTTTTCCAAATATATGTTATAATATATTATATATATTTTTCCATCAAATAAAAATAGCAGGCTACCTCAAATCAATTGCTCCAAAATATGCATTTCATTAATGCTCCACTGTAATTCTTATATCACAAACCTCTGATACATTTTTAATAAAAGTCATTATTTTAAAAGTTCTGTCTTAAGCTTATGATTTTAACTAAGAGCATTTCCTCGGTCTCATTCGTGGTTCATGTGCATGCTCTGGTGCATGATGGGAGACAAATAAGGTGCATATGTTGACTTTTTAAAACCTTTTTTTAGGCTACTATAGCATATACGTTTGGTTTTTACATGTAGTATTGCTTTAACTTGCATATATTTTTTATAGTTTATAAAGCTATAAAATGAAAGCCTTTGGTGCGGAGTTATCATTATGCAAATGTCAAGTAAATTATTGGATTTGTTGGATTCGTACATAAGGCTATAAAAGCTGTTTTAAAAATTAATATTTTAAGAGAACTATGAATAACAGTAATTTTCCAAATGCAAAGAAATAAATTTGATTTGTTGGTTGTACCCTAAATCGTCAAAACTATATCTGTTGTATATTTGAGTTGTGCGAAGTGTGCTCTGATGGAGAGAAAACCCCAATGCTTCTGCCCATGCAGTTATAGCAGCTTTTGCTTGTACGAGGCAGTCATAGAACTCTGTTGAAAAAAAAAAAAAAAAAGTTCACTCGTGACCTGCCCAAGCAAGCAAGTGGCACGCACATCATAGAGGTCAGCCTGGGTTGTCAGGTGTGTGCAAAACCCTTGATTTCTAATTGGAAAAAAAGTCAGAAAGTGTTTAATCTATCATAAATAATATCTTTGGTTGTTGTTAATTTACGTTAAGTCTTTCCTTATTGCGGACTTCAATGGGGAAGAAAACGCTTAGTTTGATGTTGATGGAAGTAAGGCCTGTTCTTTTCGTAACAGTTAGTGGTAATCACAAATATTACAGAAATATGGATTTCCCTGCTCAGTGTTATGGTACATTAAACATCATTAAGCTGTTTCCTGTAAATGGAATTCAATAGGAGAATGCTTAAAGTGATATTGTTCATTTTATACTACAGTAGGGCTACACGATATTGGGCAATTGTCATCGCGATATTTAGTTTTTCTGCGATAAATGTAAATCATTGTATCATCATTGTATGCATTTTGAAAAAAAGAAAAATATATTTAATTATTATCTTTATTAAATGATACAATCTTGTGATGTGACTATTGCTGATGCACACATTGTGATATCAATGCTAAAACTGTATATTGTGCAGCTTTACTTTATACACTAAAATAAGAGCTTGTTCTTTTGACAGCAGAAAGTATTTGTCATAAGTAAAATTTAATAGAAAGGTTTTCCTCACTTGTTGTTAAGGTACATTAAGCGTTTTCTTTATAATATACTTCAATGGGGGAGAAAGGGCTAGATTAACTTGAGGGCTAGGTGGGGCTGAAGCCCCAGGGACTTAGAAGAATTAATGTGTGGATTAGTTAGTGGTAAACAGCTCTTTACAATGCGCTCTTTGCATTGCATGTTTATAATGTGAAGTATTCCTTTCTGCTCGCTGCTGTTCAAAAACAGCAACACAGCTAAAATATTACATGAAGTGGCTGCAGCTCAATCAGACTTTGAATAGCCCTGTTTAGTCTCCCATATGGGTGACCAGATGCCCTGTTTTTGCCCCAGGAAAGTCCCTTATTTCCCAGGACTTTTTCTTATTTTGTCTCTACCGCGAGAACGGTCCAGTCAAAGGTGGGTTAACCAAGCACATTGTAGAACAAAAAGTACAATTCAAACAGTATCCGTTATTGTATCAAGACAACACAGGATGGCTGGAATCATGTTGCATAATGGTCTTATAACTGAACCGCTCTCTCAGCTGCATGCCTGCGCAATCCTGCCCTCATAATAAAATGGAGACACTGTTTGACCAAATCAAAGCTTACACAAACAGTTATCAAAATGTCCACCGCTGCAGTTAGCTTTTTGTCTTACTGTAATGTAAATATAATGTAATGTGTATTTATATAGCAGATCTATTGTGTATGGCCATACACCCAAAGCGCTTCACAATCATGAAGGGGGGTCTCTCCACACCACCACTAGTGTGCTGCATCCACTTGGATGATGCGACGGCTGCCACAGGAAAACGGTGCCAGTGCGCTCACCACACACCAGCTATTAGTGAAGTGGAGAGACAGTGATAGAGCCAGTTCGGTGGATAGGGATGATTGGGAGGCCATGATCGTAAGGGCCGATAGAAGGACTTTAGCCAGGACAGCAGGGCTAAACCCCTGCTCGTTCACGAGAAGTGCCATGGGATTCTCAATGACCACAGAGAGTCAGGACCTCGGTTTAACGTCTCATCCGAAAGACAGCGCCCACTGACAGCACAGTGTCCACTTCACTATTACTGGGGCATTAGGACCCAATCATACCACAGGTTGAACACCCCCTGCTGCTAGTTTTTCCCCAAGTGGTCTCCCATCCAGGTACTGACCAGGCTCAACTCTGCTTAGCTTCACTGAGTAACCCGTCTTGGGCTGCAGGGTGATATGGCTGTGGCGAACCAGTTAGAAAGCAAACGTTTTTATTACCCTATTACAAAAACTACAGTAGTCATCTAGAGAAATGAATTATTGCCGCTGGCTTTTATTAGACAATTTATGGCAAAAAATAAAAGAAACTTGCTAACGTTTTGTAATTCATTGACTCGACCAAATGGGATATTAGAAGCATGGATTTAAAAAAATATTTAGGGATTTCTGCTCAGCTATTTATTTTAAAACACTTTAGGAAGTATTGCAAATGTGTTTTTTTAATATGTTAATCCAGCCCTAGGGGGGAGAACATGCTTCATGTTGTATGTTCACTTTATCTGGAATTTGGGCTTGTTCATTTTAGAGTATAGTTGTCACCGACTTCATCCCAGTCATTCCCCTGGCTGGCTAGCAGAAGTCATCATCACCGGACTTCTGACATTACGTCATTCCCAAAGACTGATTGCCACACACCTGCAGCACATCTCCTCATTATCACGCTCACACATATAAGCAGCACACACACTCACCCCAGCAAACACTACTAAGCGTTCCTTATCCTTGCCTGCTTTCCCCATTGCTTACCTGAACTGTATATCGACCTTGTCTTGCCTGCCGCCTGCCCTGAACCTCAGCCTGAATACCGACCTTGATCCTTGCCGCCAGCCTCTGACCCATGCCTGCTTACTCATCATGTGTTTGCCTGCCGCCAGCCCTACGATTTGATACAACTGTATCTGAAATTATGTGAGTTCGCACATCTGTGTGCTTATTATTAAACTCTGTTTAATAAATATACTTCAAATGGATCCCTCTGTGTCAGACCCTTCCTTACAGAAGACTTCGCCCAACATGGATCCCGCAGCCATGCAGGTCTTGTCCACGGAACTCACAGCCCAAGCCCAGGTACTAGCGACACATCTCACTTAACTAACGGAAGAGTTAGTAAAGACCCTGCAGGGTTTGAACGTTGCGACCCCAGCGCAACTCACTGCCAACTACTCTCCCAACCAACTTCCGGTAACCTTTACGCAACATCATTCCCGTCCACGCCTAGCGTTTCCTGATAAATTTACCGGTAACCCGACTAAATGTAAAGGTTTCTTGTTACAATGCAAGCTGTTTGTCGCCCAACAACCCCATATGTTTGCAGATGACAACAGCAAGATCGCCTTTGTTTTCTCGCTGCTCGCTGGAAAGGCTTTAGATTGGGCTACTGCTGTCTGGCCAGACAACACTCCCACTTTTCCCACGTTCAAGGAGTTTCTTCAGCGTTTCTGTGTGGTTTTTGATCATCCGGAAAGAAGGTCGAAATGCAGGTGAAGAACTATTAACTATATAGCAAAACAATCAACCTGCGGCGGAGTTCGCCTTGCACTTTCGCACTTTGGCTGCACAAACTGGCTGGGCTGATGATCCCCTAAAGACCCTCTACCGAAAAGCATTGAACCCCGAACTTCAAACTGAGTTAGTATGTAGAGACGAAGGGAAATCACTTGATCAACTCATTGAACTCTCCATCAGGCTGGATAACCTGCTCCCCACACGTCGACCTTCCCATGTTATTTCTTCCTGTCCCAGTCAAGAGTTCACTCCAGTCTCCTCATGCCCCGTGGAACCCATGCAATTGGGTCGAGCCCAGTTATCGAATGAAGAACGAGAAAGACGTTTAAAGAATAATTTGTGCCTTTACTGCGGTCTTTATGGTCATACCAAAGCCCAATGCCCCAATAAGCCAGCTACCAAGACATTAGCGATGAGTGCAACCTCAATACTATCTATCAACAGTAACGCCCTGACTGTTCCTATGTCTGTGTGTTTTGGGAATACCATGATTCACACTGTCGCTTTGGTTGACTCAGGAGCTGCCGGTAATTCATGGACGCCGTCCCACTAACCTCTTGTGATTCTTCCCTAGCAATCACGGCGGTAGACGGACGCCTCCTAGGGGATGGAAATATCACTTACCGCACTCTTCAACTCTCTGTTCAAACAGGCTCTCTCCACAAGGAGCGGATGGAGTTTCTGATCAGAAAGTCCCCTCAACACACTAATATTCTGGGATGGCCCTGGTTGCAAGCCCATAATCCGCTCATATCCTGGAAATCAGGTGAGATCTTAAAATGGAGTGAATCATGTCTCAAGAATTGTCTGTGTTCTGTTGTCCCCGTCCAGTTCAATGCTATTGTCGCCAGTACTGAGACCCCTGAAAAATCCTTGATTCCCGATGAGTACAAGGACCTCGCTGAGGCATTCAGTAAGCAAAAAGCCACTAAGCATCCACCTTACCGTGAGTATGACTGCGCCATTGAGTTACTGCCTGGCACTACACCCCCTCGTGGGAGAATATTTCCTCTGTCCCTAACAGAAACTGAAACCATGAACGCTTGCATTAAGGAGGAGTTGGAGAAAGGATTCATACGCCCTTCTACATTACCTGCTTCTGCAGGCTTCTTCTTTGTGGAGAAAAAAGATGGAAGTTTACATCCCTGCAATGACTATAGAGGTCTGAATGAAATCACGGTCAAGTACCGATATCCCCTGCCTTTAGTCCCAACAGCCCTGGAACAATTATGCTCAGCCAGGTATTTTACTAAACTTGACCTTCGCAGTGCCTACAACCTCATACGTATAAAGCGGGGTGATGAGTGGAAAACCGGCTTTTCTACGGCTACCGGCCACTATGAGTACCGGGTGATCCGCCATGTCAGAGCCGTCCTACAGAGACTCATGGAGAACCAGTTATATGCCAAACTGTCAAAGTGTGAATTTCACCAGACCTGCATCTCCTTCCTGGGATACATAATCAGTGCGGATGGAGTAGCGATGGACGAGGAAAAGGTAAACACTGTAGTTAACTGGCCAAAGCCGAAGACAGTTAAGCAACTGCAACGCTTTCTGGGGTTCGCCAATTTCTACAGAAGATTTATAAGAAACTTCAGTTCCATGACCGCACCGCTCACCTCGATGATGAAAGGAGGAAATCCGGTCCCACTTTATATTAAGTGGCCTTAACTAATATGTATTTACATAGGAATTAATTGTTTGTTACAATGTACTTATTGTGTAAGTACATGTATTTACTGTGTACTTATGCTTGATTAAATGCATGTAATTACATCTGTAATTAACTTTTGTAATTACATTTGTAAATACACTGTTGACCATCCCTTACACCTTAACCCACCCTTAAACCTACCCATACCACCAAACCGGTCCATAACCCAACCTCTATCCCAACTTAAAAGCACCACAAGTGTTCTCAAATACATTATAAACACAGTAAGTACATTGTATTTATTTTTTGATGTAAGTACATAGTAGTTAGGGACACTTAATATAAAGTGGGACGGGAAATCCCAAGCTGAGCTGGAATCATAATGCTATCCGGGCATTCAACCACCTCAAAGCCTGAATCTCATCGACACCAATCCTCTGCCACCCTGACCCTAATTTACCTTTCGTCCTCGAAATAAATGCTTCCAATACTGGCATCGGAGCTGTACTCTCCCAAAGGCAAGTGACGTCGAACAAGCTCCACCCCTGCGCCTTCTTCTCGCGAAAGCTCAACTCGGCCGAGAGAAATTATGATGTGGGCAATCGCAAACTTCTCACCATGAAAGCCGCGATGGAAGAATGGAGACACTGGCTGGAAGGAGCTCGACATCCCTTTACGGTGATCACCGACCACAAGAACTTGGAGTACATCCGCTCAGCCAAAAGACTCAATCCCCATCAGGCTAGATGGGCACTATTCTTCACTTGCTTCAACTTCTCTGTAACATATATCCCCGGGTCCAAAAATATAAAAGCTGATGCCCTGCCTCGTCTTTCTGAGAAGGAACCAAATAAAGAGGAAGAACAGCCCATTATTGAAGACTCCGTCATCTTGACTCCCATCACTTGGGACATTGACACTGAGATTTCCCTAGTATCCGACAAACACCCTACACCTCCAGCCTGTCCCGCGGACAAAGTCGTTTCTCAGCCACTCAGAGAAAATCTTATTGATGTAATTCACTCCAGCCCTAGTTTCAGACAGGCAGGCACCATTGATCTCATTCAGAACCGTTACTGGTGGCCCACCGTAAGAGAAGATGTCATCAAATTTATAAAGAACTGTTTTCCCTGTAACATGCATAAACATTCTCGCCATAGCCCTGCCGGACTCTTGCAACCCCTGGAAATCCCACGTCTCCCCTGGTCCCATGTCGCCATCGATTAAGTCACCGATCTTCCCCTCTCCGAAGGCCACACCACCATTCTGACTGTCATTGACAGATTCTTGAAGGCATGCTGGCTCATTCCCATCCTCAAACTACCTACAGCCCTGGAAACTGCAGAGCTCCTATGCACTCACGTGCTATTATGGTCTGCCCGAAGACATCGTGTCTGACAGAGGTCCCCAATTTACATCCAGAGTATGGTCTGCATTCTTTAAGAACCTGAACATCAACATCAGCCTCACATCAGGTTATCACCCACAATCCAATGGACAAGTTGTAAGACTGAACCAGGAAATAGGGCGTTTCCTCCGCTCCTACTGCCATCAAAATCAAGAGGACTGGAGCTTTTTTCTCATGTGGGCTGAATATGCTCAAAACTTTCTCAGAAAGGCATCCACAGGTCTTACACCGTTCCTAGTTGTTCTAGGTTTCCAGCCCCCCCTGTTCCCATGGTCAGGAGAACCATCTGAACTCCCAGCCCTCAATCATTAGTTCCAGAGATGTGAAGAAACCTGGATCGCAGCCCATACTCACCTCTCTCATGCAGTCAGGAGATTTAAGGACCAAGCTGATCGTCATCGATGCCCCAATCCAGCATACACACCAGGACAGTGGGTATGGCTGTATACCAGACATCTCTGCCTCAGACTGTATATCGACCTTGTCTTGCCTGCCGCCTGCCCTGAACCCCAGCCTGAATACCGACCTTGATCCTTGCCGCCAGCCTCTGACCCATGCCTGCTTTCTCATCCTGTGTTTGCCTGCCGCCAGCTCTTCGACTTGATACAACTGTGTTTTATGTGAGTTCGCACACAAGTTATATCTGTGTGCTTATTATTAAACTCTGTTTAATAAATATACTGCAAATGGATCCCTCTGTATCAGACCCTTCCTTACAATAGTGTTAATTACAATTAAAGATCAACAGAATTTGGGGTTTTCTGGTTCATTTTTATTAGATTAAGCCATGTTAAGCATTTTTCCTGTTAAGCATTAAGAATGTCTCGCCAAAGAATTTAGAACATAAATAAAGTGCACTGAGTTGATAACTGCGGACATCAAGTTAAAAGTATTTAAACCAGGTTCCCAATCAGCTTAGATCATTCTTATTAAATAAAAATTCTCTAAATTTGCAAACGATTATACTGGTTTTCTATAAATTTGTTAACATTACACCTATCCTCCTTTTTTAGGTTCTCTTCACACATTTCGTTTTGTGAGGTGTACACCTCAGTACAATGGCAGACACAAAGCATATTGCATTCTCCATCATCCAGTTTCTCCGTGACCAGCTGTCCTCTGGGGGTCTGTCATCAGATGCACAAGAAAGTTTAGAAGGTAAAACTTTAAACCTAGAATCAGTACTGGACATCTGATTTATTGTTTTTATTTAATACATTTTTTTATTCAAATGTTCCAATTTACTTATTTATCTAGTTGCTATTCAGTGCTTGGAGACAACATTTGGGATTTCTGTAGATGACCAGAACTTAGCAGTCAGTCAGTCTCTGCCAGAGTTATTTGCTTTTGCAACTAAACAGGTAAAATGTGTTCTTTATTGCTTTCTAAAATGAGGAGATCTGACATGTTTGTTTATAATATTGTAATACACTATGCATCAATTTTAACAGACTGGTACAACACAAGAAAACACATTTGTAACCACTGGATCACCTTATGAGCATCAGTTAGCAGAGGCTGAGCGTCTTAAAACAGATGGTAAGACTATCATACTTTTACTAATTTCAGATGTTAAATGTTTTTTTTTTCACTCAAATCATGCATTTTCCTACAGGAAATGATCAGATGAAAGTGGAAAACTTTAGTGCAGCTGTGGAGTTTTACTCTAAAGCCATCCAGCTTAATCCTCAAAATGCTGTCTACTTTTGCAACAGGTACTTTTTTTTTCAGTAACAAGATTTTAAATGGGTATGTCTTATATTTTAACAGTTAAAAAATGTCTTTAAAAATGTGAATAATTGCTTTAATTATTTCATAAATGTATATCATTTTTTATTTAAGAGCTGCAGCATACAGCAAGCTAGGGAACTATGCTGGAGCTGTTCAAGACTGTGAACGTGCCATTGGAATTGATGCAAACTACAGTAAAGCATATGGACGAATGGGGTATTTTTTTTTTTTAATATACATTTTTGATAATAGAGTTAAAAAAAAAAGCTGACAAAAGACAAAGTAATGATAGTTCCAAAACTTCTTGAAGATATTTGAAATTTAGACACAAATTCAAAGCCTGGAAAGAAATTGATAGCAAACATAGCATTGTTCTGAACAGAACAAAGAAGAACTAATTATCCTGTGTGCATTTGAAGGTAGTAGCACATTTTTTAACGCTGATTAGATCTCTTCGTAGGACAGTTTTGTAACTCCCAATTTTCATTGGACATGTGTGGCAATGACCACTCTAGTCAGTGCTCATAATTTTTTATATGACTTTTATTATTTTTTTTGCATTTGCTTGTCCATGTGACTGTTCATTTATGATGTCGTATTTAAAATATTAATGCAAAATACGCAGTCTGGATATTGTGTCTTTGGCATCCAGGCATATTCAGTTTATTAGTAGAGGTTTAAATGAATGTTAGATTTATCTTTGCTTTATAGTATCTAAGATTTCTGTAAAATAAAATAATAGTAATGTTGTACTTGATAGTTACCATTTTTACTAAAATAATTTTATAAAATAAATTTTAAGTAATGGTAAATAATATTATCAGAATAATACCACTATTTTCAAGAAATATTGATAGATGATTTTTGTCAATATTGCTTTGTAGAGTGTGTTAAATTTCATTAGGTATCTAAATCTTTAAACCTTAGATTTGAGTTCTAATGGCAGTTCAGGGTTAAGCCCACTCTTGCTGACTTTTGACCATTACCTGCCAACATTTCATTTTTTTTTAATTTTTTTATTTTTTTTAGGTTTTTCATGTTCAAAATAGTAGTTTTCATAATTAAGTTTCACCATTGAGAAGCAAGACTTTTTGCAAGATTTTGCACAATGTACTTCCATTCACCTGTTAAAATTCAATTCAATTCATCTTTATTTCTATAGGGCTTTTACAATGTAGGAAAAGTCATGCTAGCAGGTCAAAGGCCCACAGTGGGAGAGAAATGGAGTTTACTTTCATTTTCTCAAATGCAGGAAAATAGGGGCTTCTGCTGTAACTTCTTTGTCAGTAAAAGACTGTCCAGCAAACAAGCATGCAGTGAATTGTGCATTTTCTTTTTTGTTTTTGAGTAGTTGAAGTGTTTTAATTACTCTCATTCGCCTCCCTCGGCATAGTAAGCTGCTGCAATATGGCACATATGAGATAAATAACGTCAGTGCGTAATAACCAGAAATGATCTATTACTGAACCGATACCGAATTGTCCGCATCTGCATCGCAGTGCACCAAAGAAGCAATCAATTTTGACACCCTTAATGTACTGTACAAGTGATTTTAAGGTGATAAGACTAAGACAGCCAATAAATTATTATTTTTATCATTCACATGTTTTTTGTTGATTTTATTGGCTTTATTATAGGCTTATAGATGCATTCATTTAGACCTATTAATGAATGTTATTTTAACAGCATGCACAAAGACCGTTTTTTTATTTTCGAAGGACCTGTGTTGTGCAAGTTTATCATTGTTTACATATAGCCTAGCCTACTTGATGGACACTTTCATTTTAAAAAATACTATAAATTAGGGCTGTCAAATGATAAAAAAAATTACGTAATTAATCAAACTTTTTTGTAATCATGATTAATTACGTTTAGTGATTAATCATGATTAATTACTAAACACTGTATTTATTACATAAATAAAATCATGTAAGTGCCATTTGAATTTTAAAACAATCAAAGTCAATAACAAACCAAAATGATTTCCAAGTTGAATTCTAAGTGGACCACACTGAACTGCAGTTAAAGTCTAAAGATTAAAAATGAAACTCCCGAAATTGCATGAAAGTCTGGTGGAAACGCAGGATAGCCTGGTGATGCGACATTAATTCAGTTTTATACTGAAACTTTTTCTTCTAATAGTGCATCCTTGGTCTTATCCAAATGTCTTTGCATGTTAAGCACATGCAGAGCCAGAGCAAGCTGAACTGGTGCTCTAGGCAAACGGCAATCACGCAGCCCTCAACCCAAAAGTGAAAAAGACAGTCAACGGTTTGCTAATGAAAGCTGCAACTATTGTTTGCATTTTTTTTTTTATGCGTTAAATATTTACAATTAATCACATGAGTTAACACGCTTATTTTGACAGCCCTAAAATAAAAATATACTTTATATAAAAACAAGATATACTTATTATATATTTTTTATATACTTAATATATATATTTTTTTAAAAAGTCTAAATTATTGTACAGTGTGTATGCTTGTTGTATGCCAGTGTGTATGGTAAAAGTACACAAATTATTTTGTAATTTAACGATAACAAACTGGCAGCAGGCTTACCAGCAGTAAATGGTGATCCTAAAATTACATTACCATTTTCCAAGTTACGGCTTTTCTGTAACTTAACGGTAAAATGTTTATTACAATATGCCCAAGCAAATAATTATATTACTGGTTGTTAAAACTTTGGAGCATTCCTCTAAATAAACCAATTGAGAAGCAGCAGAAGTCTGCAGGCCAAGAACATACCAGATTTATTCAGTTTTTCAGATCTGGTACTGGTACAGCCAGGAATAGAATGTAAACTTAAATATAGTGTACTTTTAAGTAAAGTTATATGTTAAAAGAACGTAAAACAGCATGTTATTAATGACACTGACACCACAAATGTGCAAATTTAAATGTTAAGTTCCCTCCCTTCTGGTATCATTGCATATAGGGTGGGGCCAATCATTGGCCCAGAGAGTTCAAAGTCATGGAACTCGTAGCTGACCAATCGTCCCAGTCAGTAGTCTTTGGGGATTTTAATGTCAGTTGCCATGCTGTTATTAACCAATACTACACTGTTCGTGAGGACAGTTCAAGGAAGGGTTTAGCTTTCAGGGTTTTAGGCCTTCTGTTGTTAGTTGGAAGAAATCCAATGTGTGGTCTAGAGTTCGGCCTTTTCATATGGTGAGCCATATAGAGCACTCGTTTGAATAGGCTGGCACAACAGTCTTGTTCGCTGATGAGGGCGCAGACCTCTGGAATGGTTTGGCCTGAGCGGAGGTCCTTAAGGGTGACAGCCATAGTTGTTGGCTGTGAAGCTGTTGATACATATACCTTGTCATTAAGGGTGTCTACATGCCTTGAGATGAATCAGGCTATCAGCTCCAATGTGAACATCATGTGGCATGGCCGTGAGAATCAAGAAGGAATGGGTTAACGATCTGCCTTTCAAGTTCAAGTTCAATGCGCAAATGCTGTTGACAGTTGTCATGTGTGAAAGTTTAGCATTTGGATAGTACCGTGTATGCTTGTTTGTTGAAAGCTGGTCTGGGGTGTGTTCATACGGAGTGTTGGACAGTGCGAGGCTGATGGCTGAGGTGTTGGTCCATAATGCTAGTACAGGGTTCGGTCACAGTCAAGCCTCTTGAGGCCTGGGGCAGCAAGCGTTAGGGTCGCTGGCTAGTTGAAGGCTGCAGAGTAATGACCATGACCCTCACAGTCTGTTGGGGTTGACCTGGCGGCTGTGAGCAAGGGTTTTTGCACTTAGGCCCAGATTTTGAGATGGTTAAAGTTCAAAAGGGGTTCAAAACAATCCAGCAGATCTTTACCAATCAGCAGCGGGTGTGTGTCCATTAGTGACATGTACACGGGGTGCTCTGCAGTCATGGGGCCACTAGTTAATTGAATGGGAGCGATGTATGCATGTTGGACCTCAGTCTGGCTGTATGATTGCACATTCAACCTGCATCGTTGATATTTAAGTGTTCGGTTTAGTCTCTGAGCTCTTGCTTTGAGCTGTTCAAACAGAAAATGGCATTCATAGAAGGTCTGCTCCCGTGCTGACCAGCGCTTCGTGTCTTATTTCTATTTTTAAGGTTACGGCCAAGTCGAGCGTCATTGCCATGCCATTTTCAGTCAGGTTCCCCAAGAGTTGAGGTGCAGGGGCCTGAGCAGTTGCTTGTAAGCAGGTGCGGCTGATAGGATGTGGCTCAGAAGGTAAACATACACCCAGAACAGTGCTTTCGGGTACCTCAAGTTGCATGCATGGTTGCTCTTGTTGTTTGCTTTTTAGGAAGTGTGGTGCTGTTGTTGGATACACAGTCTCTGGCTTGTGTTGGACTTGCAGTAATCTGCGGGGATGGAGCAGAAGGAAGATGTTCAGGGGGAGAAATGTTTTTAGACCTCCCCCCTAGTCATAAGGAGTCTGGCGTCTTCTTTTTCCTTGTAGGGCCCCATTTGGAAGAATTTCTTCAAGATTTTCAGCAGTTCTGCTGTTTCTGACATCACTGTGCTGTCCTTTTTGCGTCAAAATGTCAAACTTGGCTTTGTCTGGCATGTAACAAGCTGGATTCTGGCTGCTTGAGCTTCTGGTTACTGCAGGCTGGCCGTTCCTTTGTTGCTGATAGGCTCCTTTTGGGCTGTTGGTAAAGGGTGGCCTGTCCCAGTGTACCTCTGAGCATCCTGTCTGGTGTTTGGGACCCGCGCCTTCATGACGATACTGTCTTATGATGCCAGAGAAAGGTTTTAACTTACTGTTGGAAGTCTTGCGGCTGTGAAACAGTTGTGTGCCTTTTAAAGCCAGCTCTGGATGACAACAATCAATCCTTGTTCTGACACTGGGTCAGAAAAACACTCTAGTCAGAGCTTTTGCAGCAGCTAATAATCTGCTTTGATGGCACTGGGCTGTCGATTAAGGAAACTTTTTACCTCATGGCTCAAAGTCATTCTTAGCAAATATAATTTGTAACATGCAGTGGCACTTGGCCTTGTCTGTGTAAAAGTCAATGTCTTGTAAGTAGGAGTGCACATTGTTGCCTCCAACAGGGTTTGGGGTGAAAGTTGAAATTTTCCTGGCCAGCTTGTTCGGGTCTTTTGTTGACAGGTTGTGTCTGTCGTGGGGGACCCTTTGGAAGGAGTCCTTGCTCTGTGTTGCTGACGGGCGTTCTGGGATGCTGGCTGGCGGGGGTAGTAGGAACGGGCTTTCACCCCCCTCTTCTGGACTGTAAA